GGGGGGGAGGGCGTTGAGATGTCGCGAGCAGATCCTCGCGAGATCGACAAGCGCTGCAGGGATTCTGGGAGCATCGGCTGAAGAGCAGTGAGGTGTATTCGCCTATCTCCCGCCTGGGATTCGGCCGTCCGACTGAAAATATGTATCCAGTCTGCCACGTAGCACGCCCGGCTAAATCACCGGGAACGGGGAGCTGACGCTGTCTCTTCCTCCAGTTGAGAGATGCAACGAAAGCGTACCGCGCTGATCCCGACCCGAAGAATCCGGGTGAGGTCGTCACGTGGGAGATATAAAGAAGAAGAAGAAGAAGAAGAACTGAAAGAGCGGAGGGTAGGATTGTTGCGGAGACAGAAGGAAAGAACGTGTCCGGCGAAGAAAAGGTGCCGAGATAAGGGGAGAAAGGAGGATTCCACGGATTTACAGTTGAAAGAAAGATCTCAAGGATGTTTAACGTCGTCCTAGTCCTCTGTGTCAGACGTTAAGATTAAGGAGCCTCGCGCGACTCGCTCGTTCGTTGTCACAACATAACGAAGGATCCGCGAGGCGCCTCGTTATCCTTAGGGGTGGAAAAAAGCGTTAGACGAGAAGACCTTAACAGCCTCCACCATTATCGTAAAGGACAAAGAAATGTCTAACAACGAGGATGTAAATGTCAGTCTATCACGTTGACGTTAATGCTTAAAAGAAAATTTGCATCGAGACACAGTAAATTGGATATCGACATATAATTCAATGCTTTTCATAGTGTCTAATATTATACGAAAGTTCAAAGCTAGATAATAAGAAATATAGGTGTGTCAAAAACGAAACGTAAAAATAATGGAATAATGTTTGTTGAAATTTGGGAGGTTTTATAGAAACCGTTTAAATTGGGGATTGTTTGCTATCCGATATTTTCATTCGACACCTCCAACAGAGATTTATAAATGTCTGTCGTTTCCGAGGGAGGAAACGAGGCTCTAACGATCTCGCGATGATTTATCTCGTTGTTATTGTCGCGGAGTGGTCGCGGATCCTGGATGGAGAAGTTTGGTTCTGCGTCGAAAACACGCCGCGCCGCCGGGTTGTATCGAATTGGAAACTACGAAGGATGCCGGTTCGAACGGTTCATTGTTTGCTCTGTTAGTGATTTAATTGCGACGGAGGATCCGCACGGCGTTGCAGGCATAGTTTCCAATACCGGTTAACTATACTTGAATAAATTATATTTCGATTGTTCGGTATCCGTGGAATAACTTCGTGGAGAAATAACTTCATTAACCTCGTTAGGCACTTCATTAATTTGGAAAGTTAATTACACTGAAAACTGTAATTAATGAATGGAAATAATTATCCGATAGAAGTACGAACATGAATTTAGAACAGTCATTGTATTCTCTGAAAAGAGAGAGTAAAAATTTCCGTTGTTTCTCCGAATCTGAACGCACTGAATGAGAAGTTGGAAAAGTTTTTAAACTACACGAAATATATCATTCTTAATGCTGGACAAACGGACGTGTTTACGGATCCTGTAGACGAGATGCCAAGCTACAGATTGCAGAGCGGCAATTAAATTCCGTTTCTTGCCTAGGGATTAGCCAGCCTGTCCACACGTTTGTCCGCGCTAATTAACGGGTCTCTGTGCACGGTTGAAACCAACCCGAGCCTCTCCGTTTCGTCTGTCCGCTTCGTTTCGCGGTCGTTCTCTGCCCGAAGTGTTTGAAATTATTTATCGAAAATGAACGATGCGCGGGAATCGATTAATCAAGGTGCGCCGGCCGAGCTGAATAATTCAAACGTTACGTTTCGGTTAATTGGCGGCGTCGTCCGAAATTCGAATGGATGCTCCTCTGCCCGGTCGAGTCCCGCCGAGGGGCGAACGAGAGTCGGCGAAACGTTGCACGAGAAATCGCGGACACTCCGTAGTTTCGAGAGTGGAAAACTTGAAAGGGAACGAACTCGAACCTCGAGAAGACCCGCAAGTCGAGATGATACCTTGATTACTTAGGCGGTGGGAAGTATTGATTTCATCGGGCGACGCGATTCACGGGTTTCCGTCCCATTAAACGGCCAGGCTAATAATATCTGAGGAGATCCCCGCAAGAAAACTAGCCACCTTCCATCGAAACCATGCGATAAATCATTCAATTAAATGAGTCATTTTTATGTATATATGAAATCGCACACTGCGTCCGATTTAAGGAGGTTCAGGGGTATCATCGGGGGGCGTGAGGGACGCGGGGAGGTGCCTATCCTTTAACATAGGACAGCAGCAGGGACGACAACTTAAAATAAATTATTGTATACGATCCGAAAACAATATTTTACATAAAAAAATTATGTAAAAGACGTTTACAATGTTATAGATAATGTTTTTAAACATGTGTACGCAATATGATGACTTTCTTTTAATAAATTTTCTAAATTGGAAAAGTGAAAGAAAATCGAACAAATTTGGCAACAGCACATAGATATATTTGTACGTTGGTACTGACTGATGGTCTCGCACACTCAAGTTCGTTAGGTTACGCACACACGGACAAGTGTCTTCGTGAGTCGTGCTGTTGCCACATCTCTTACTAAGCCGTCCATGATTTGAAATGCAGTAGTCCGTGATGCTAAATTATTGTTAATTACACTGCAAATTGAACGGTAACGTACCTTGATAAAAATATTAAACGATTCCTGTTTATTTTTTCTATCAATATATATTAATAAGTTTCGATTCTCTACGTATTTTCAACTTGATTTTCTATTTTGAACAGTCAGAATATTTGTATCCCATAAGAAACCGTGTAAAATGAGCAAATTTCAAAAGCGTTTTTCTCCAATATAACGTGGACGAAAAATTCGAAAAAATTATTTTGGTTTTGTTATGCAATAAGGAAACATATTCTTAAATTTCATGCTGATCTCTACGTTTTTATAAAACCCCCGAACCTCCTTAAGTGGAAACGATTAAATATGTTGAAAAGTATGAAAGATAAAAAGAAAGATCATTTTTTTTATTTTTTATATTTTTCTAAATATATTATAATAAAATTATTTAGTAAATAATTATCAGTTTCATTAAATGTTACTTAAAACAGAACAATAGTAGAAAGAATCGATTTAGGTAAAAGAATCTTGGTAATTCTTGTGTTCCCAGGTCTGGTAAAACTACGAGAGCTCGTCAGGTCGCCGAAGTCTCGGGAGATCGAGGTTAACCTCAGGCAGGCCGACCCGGATTCCTACAGGCAGGTTCTATCCGAGATGAAAAGCAAGGAAATACGGAATCTCATCGTAGATACCAGGCCGGAGCATATGCATCATTTTCTGCGAATGGTAACTACTCGACTACGTGCAAACATATTCGATATTCGTGTATCGATTCACCCACCGCCCCCGTGTTGCGTTGCCTCGATAAACACGTCGCGTCGCGTCTCCGATGCAAATATCTCCCAGCCATTCATCCCTCATTCCCTTTCTCGCGCCGGTTTTTATCCGACGCAACGCTCGATCTTCTTGTTTTCTTTGAACGTCTAAGTCCTGCCGCTGATTCACTTCCATAAATTTCCGTACATTTTTCTACGCAAAGTTTAAACAACGTTCCTATTTTCCTTTCGCCTCGCATTCAAATCGTATCGCCCTTCTTATAGACTTTTCAATACCTGAAACAACAGATTTCTGATTTTAGTTCTGAGTTAAATGGTCGAAAGGAAAAATATTCTTATTGATTTTTCAATATGAATTTTCGATTCGATTAATGAAAATACGGAAAATTCGTTATTCATCAGTTGATCCACTTTTGCTTTCAGATCCTGCAGCTGCAAATGAACGATTACAAGTACCACTATCTGTTCACAACTTTCGTAAGTACCCTCTACGAATCCGGCCCCGGGGCATCGAGTAGTACGCGACCCGACTCGAAAAACGTCTCCCTTTATTCCAGGATATCGAGACCTTCGACCTCGAGGACTTCAAGTACAATTTCGTCAATATCACTGCCTTCCGCTTGGTCGACGCAGAGGACGTCGACGTCCGGGGTATCCTTAGGGACATGGAACGATACCAGCCGTCCGGGAACACGATCCTCAACAAATCCAGAGTTATACAGGTAAGATTTCCGTTTTGCTTTAACCCTTCTCCGCGCGACCCTCGAATTCTCGGCCGCCCTGGCAGTCCTCCAGGATGTTTGTCTGATCTGTTATTGCACGCTACTTCGATATTCGTCGATGTAAACTGTAGCTGATCGATTTTTATCCGAACCGCGTCGCGTCCGTCTGTATTTGCCCGGTTAAGTGGATGCGAACGTCAATAGTCACGATTCTACCCTCTTCGGGAAGTTGTTTTAAAGAGGACGTTCTCGAAATGATCATCCGAGAAAATTAATTGAATCTTGAAGTTAAACCTGATCGCGATATCTATTTTTTATAACAATTTTCTGAATAGAATGGAGAACGTATTGTAAACAAATTTATAGGAGACAGTATTTTCTTTATGAGGTTTACCCAAACATCAGCTCAAGTTATGCGTTTCCTTTCATAACAAAAATTTGAATAAAATCCCAGGGAAGCGAGAATTGTGTACGTCAGCAGAAAGCAGACACTCTTATCTGAATGCAAATCGCCAAAAGCTACGCACTGAAAAAATATGACTCACGAAATTTGAGAAACGTGACGTTCTGATTAAAATTGAACTATTAATTCATTTAATTTATTCAGACACGCTCGTCATATTGTTATATATTTTGTTTTTAATTATACTAAATGGTGTTTCGCCCACAGCATAAATAAACTTGTTTCCTTGATGATTGAACATGGTCGTTAGGCGGTGATTTTGGCAACTCGAAATTATTTCACTATCACGGAAAACCTCGTTTCCTGCCGCGACGACCTGCTTTCTCATGTGCGGCTACGACTCGACATGTGTCCGTTTCGCAGTTCCCGCAATCGGCCTCGTTTCTCTACTTTACGATCAATAAGGTATCGCCGGGTATAACTGACACTTATCATTCAAGCACTTTAAAATAACGGATTCTTTTTATTCAAAAGGAGAATTAACACTAGAAAGACTGAAATTTAGTATATACCTATATTGCCCAAAGCAGTCAAAATGACTGCATTGTAAATGAATATTGTGTAAAGA